CCACCGGAGGGGGGGGGGGTAGCGGGGGGGGGTAGCGACCCCCCCCCCGAGTCAGATACGACGCCCCCCCCCCGTACCGACCTTGAGCAACGTCGTCATTGAGTCGAAGGGAAGCCCCTTCCCTTTCCCTTCCCCGACGGGGGGGGGAGAGAGGTCCCGGGGGGGGGTCCCGGGGGGGTCCCGGGGAAGTCCCGGGTCAGATACGACACCTCCCTCCCCCACCTTCTCGTCCTTCTCCCCGTTCCCCCAAACCATCCCACAGCCCGTGCCTCTTGCTGCGCATTGCGAACAGGGTCGGCGGCACCGGCCGTCAGGCCTTCGCAATCAATTCTGCAGTCGATCCCCTACTCAAACCCTGGGGTTCGGAGACTTCCGAAAACTCGCCACGCGGTGTTGTCGCCGCTTGGCGGCGCGCAGAGGGGGGCATGGGGAAGGGGGGAAGGCTTCCCAGAAGGAGGCTGCTTCTCAGAAGGCGCGGGCCTCACGTCTACAGCCGAGGACCACGCCTCCTAGGAAGCGAGAGTGCTTCTGAGAAGCCTTCCCCCTGCCCCCTACCCCTCTGCGCATGGCCGAACCTGGGGAGACAAAAAGGTACCGATGCCGCCACTCCCCGGACCTCTCCCGGGGTGTGTTCTGACCAGAACTGCGAGACGAATCCAGCGGTGGCGACGAGGGCCTCCCACGAGGCCCAAAAGGAGGAAAACGGCCGAATGGCCGAATGGGTAGGGGTAGGGGTACCTCTTCCTCCTCTGACCTTCCCTCCTCTGCGCGCGGCCGGACCGCACCGCCCGTAGATCCCCGAGGCACTCCCGGCGCGCCCCGCGCCGGAGCACGAGGTCGTCCAGCAGCTGGCGCGCCAGGGAGCCCGCAGGCGGCACGCCCAGGAGCCAGAGCAGCGCCCGGGGCTCCGCGCAGAGGCGCAGGAAGAGCTCCCGCGCGTCGCCGCCCTCGAGGTTCGCCGAGGAGGCGACGATCACCTGAAAGGGGCCCAGGGACACAAATAGATATACACACACAAATCCCAGGATTCCCCACATTTCCCCGTATGTTCTTAACTTTGGCCTTCCCCCCACGTCCCATATGTTCCATATTTTCCTAGGGATTGTGCTTTCTGTACTCTCTAATCCTGAAAGCACACTCTGGCGTCAACTCCTGGGAACATCTCATACCATGTGGCTGGCTCTTGCGAACCGGCGCTGGTCGACGCTCATCGACGCTCATCGGCGCTCATCGGCGCTCATCGACACTGTATCGGCGACATCTCATCGAGTACCAGACGCTAATCGACGCTAGAGACAGGACCAAGAGGGTATCAAAGGCTCCCAAGATTTGCTAACGAAACATATTAGTACGTGGCACCCCGTAGTTGCGGATAAAACTAAGGGGGCGGGCGCGGGGTGGGTCGCGGGAGGGTCGCGGGGTGGGTCGCCGGTGGGTCGCGGGGTGGGTCGCCGAGGAGGGGACGGTCACCTTCCGGGCGCAGCACTTGGCGGCGAGCCAAGGCTAGAAGTGAGGCAGGCCTTCTCGGAGGGCAGCGGAGCTTCGTCGCCCGCGCGCCCAGGCCGTGCAGGCTCTGGGGCTCGATCCCGGGGATGCGCTGCGCGGCACGGCTGCGTCTCGCGCGGGGCAGGCGCGGGAGAGAGAGCGCCCCGCAGCCGCGGGGGGGCGCGGCCCCCGGAGGCCCAGCCCGCGAGACCGCGGGCGCGGGCATGTCGGTCGCCCCCAGTCTGGGGCGCAGAGGGGCACGCCAGGACCATGCGCCCCCCGAGGGTGGGGCACGTGCGACACGAAGCCTGCAGCAGCGCAACGGCATCCAAGAAGCTCCTTCCCCGAACGGCATGGCGGGAAGGTTCGCCACGGAGCGCGTATGGAATCCAGAAGATGTATGACTGCCTACCAGACCACCCCAACCCAACCCGAAGACCCGAATTTCGGGTTGGGGGGGGTACGGGCTTCATGTGTGTTTATTTTTAATGTTTCCCGACCCCCTCCCCCACTGGAAATGGAGGGCAAAGCGTGGCCTTCGGGTTGGGTTGGGATAGTTTTGGTGGGCGGTGAATGTACGAGCGCGCGCGTGGCACATGGGGGGGGGGAGGGGGCAACGAGCGCATAGTACTGGCCGGCCGCTCCGCGGTTGATCGGGAGTTTCTGCATATAGAAGGTGAGGCGTGTGCTCGTGGGCGAGAGGAGGCTGAGCGGGAGGCGGCGGCGTGCAGCCCCTGCCGCTCCTACGCATATAGGAGATGAGGCGAGTGCTCGTGGGCGAGAAGAGACTGAGCGGGAGGGCGGCGGCATGCAGCCCCTCCCGCTCCTGTGCTGGCAGCCTCCACCTTCTCCTCCGTATCCTCCCAGCAGGTCTCGTGAGGTCCCTGGAGGTCGTTCCTCCTCCGCATCCTCCCCCTCCTCCTCCTCACACTCTCTTCCTCCTCCTCATCATCATCCTCATCCTCCACCACCACCACCACCACCACCTCCTCCAACTCTCATCATCTTTCTCTTCCTCTTCCCCCTCCTCCTCCTCCTCCTCCTCCCTCCTCCCCTCCTCCTCCCCTCCTCCTCATCGCGCTCCTCCCTCCTCCTCCTCTCCCCTCCTCCTCCTCCTCCTCCTCATCCGCCGCCTCCTCCTCCTCCCCTCCTCCCTCCTCCTCCTCCCCTACTACGTCATCCTTCCTGCTCATCCTCGTCATCGTCCTCGGGGGCCTCCCTCGGGAGGCGATTTGGCGACTTTGCAAGGGCGTCTCCAGCGGAAGCCCCAAATGTTGACGCGCTCGGGTCGAAGTTTACGAGGATGTCTCGAGCGAGAGCCAGGGCGCGCCCTGTCGCGCGTAGGCCTCCTTGGGGAGGCTCGGGAGGGCAGTTTTCTGAGGATGTCTCACGTGAAGGCGCTGGTTCGGACCTCGTCGCTGGATGTCCCCGATTTCCCGGAACCGATTCAAGGGGGCCTCTGGGGGCCTCCCTGTTTTCTGAGGATGTCCCACGCGAGAGCGCCGGATTGGAATTCGCCGCCAGATCTCCCAGATTTTTTCTGGAAACGGAACAAGGGTGCCTCTGAGGGCCTCCTTGGGGAGTCTCAGGGGGCCAGTTTTCTAAGGATGTCCCACGCGAAGGCGCTGGCTTGGATTTGGTCGCAGGATTTCCCCGATTTCCCGGAAACGGAACAGGGGGCCCTCTGCGGACCTCCTCGGGGATGCTTGGGGGGGCAGTTTTCTGAGGACGTCCCACGCGAGGGCGCCAGTTTGGAATTCGTCGCCAGATTTCCTGGATTTCCAGGATGGTTCAGGACAAGGGGGCGGTTGGCGGGCCCATTCCCTCGAACGCTGGGGGTCAGGACGACGTGAGTTCTCAAGACAAACTCCCTCAAATGAGTATGTTTGGGTGATGCTGGACCTTCGGCCGCGATAGCGGATGGGCCTCGAGGAGCTCCTCCAGGGTCTCGAAGACGCTGAAGCTCCGGAGGACAAACGGGTTCTGGGCCGTGTTGGCCTCGAACCTGGAGAGAACCTCCCCGCTCATGTACTCCAGCCTCGTCTTGAGCTGGTCGAGGACCATCTCCCCCATGGACGAAAGCCAGATGAGCGGGTAATTCGTAGCCAGCTGCCTGTCCTGGCCCCAGGCCGCCTCGAACAGCAGCAGCAGCTCTGGGACTCCTCGGCTTGGCAGGGGCAGGGCCCGACGAGACCCCAATGGAACCCCATCCGATTCTCTCCTCTCCCTCGCCCCGCTCTTAATCCCTCTCCCTCCTCCTCCACCTCCTCCTCCACCTTCCTCCTCCTCCTCCTCCTCCTCCTCCTCCTCCTCCTCCTCTTCCTCCTCCTCCTCCTCCTCCTCCTCCTTGTTCCTCCTTCTTCTTCCTTTTCCGCCTCGTCCTCCTCCGCCTCCTCCAACATCGAGGCCGATCCAGCGCTACTCCTCCTCCTCCTCCTCCTCCTCCTCCCTCTCCTCCTCCTCCTCCTCATCCTCCTCCTTCATCCTGCTCATCCTCCTCCTCCTGCTCCTCCTCCTCTCCTCCTCCTCCTCCTCCCTCCTCCCTCCTCCTCCTCCTCCTCCTCCTCCTCTCCTCCTCCTCCTCCTCCTCATCCTCCTCCTCCCTCCTCCTCCTCCTCCTCTCCTCCTCCTCATCATCATCATCATCATCATCATCATCATCATCATAATCATCATCATCATCATCATCATCATCATCAATCATCACATCAGCATCAGCATCAGCATCAGCATCGCATCATCATCATCATCTCATCATCATCATCATCATCATGATCATCATCTCATCATCATCATCATCATATCATCATCATCATCATCATCATCATCATCCATCATCATCCTCATCCTCATCCTCATCCTCATCCTCATCCTCATCCTCATCCTCATCCTCATCCTCATCATCATCATCATCATCATCATCATCATCATCATCATCAGCATCAGCATCAGCATCAGCATCAGCATCATCATCATCATCACCATTATCATCATCATCATCATCATCATCATCATCATCATAATCCTCATCCTCATCCTCATCCTCATCCTCAGCAGCAGCGACAAGAGCAGCATAATAATAAGACTAATAACTTGAATCATCATCAGCATCATCATCATCATCACCACCACCACCATCATCATCACCACCACCATCATCATCATCATCACCACAACCACCACCACAATCATCATCATCAGCAGCAGCAGCATCAGCATCAGCATGAGCATCATCGTCATCAGCAGCAGCATCGTCATCATCTTTATCATCATCGTCATCATCGTCATCATCAGCATCATCATAATCATCATCAGCATCATAATCATCATCAGCAGAAGCAGCAGCAGCAGCATCATCATCAGCAGCATCAGTATCATCCGCATCAGCATCATCATCAGCATCATCATCGTACTCGTATGTGTCATCAGCAGCAGCATCAGCATCCTCAGCATCATCATCATCCTCACAATCAGCATCATCATCAGCATCATCATCATCCTCCTCATCATCATCAGCAGCAGCATCAGTATCGTCATCATCATCATCAGCATCATCAGCATCATCATCATCAGCATCGCCATCAGCATCAGCATCATCATCATCAACAGCATCATCACCAGCATCATCAGCCTCATCATCAGCCAAATCATAATCATCAGCAGCTACAGCATCATCATCATCATCAGCATCATCATCATTATCAGCATCAGTATCCTCAGCATCATCATCATCAGCAGCAGCATCAGTATCAGCATCATCATCATCATCGTCATCATCATCGTCAGCATCATCAGCAGCAGCATTATTATCAGCATGTTCAGTTTCAGCATAAGCATCGTCATCAGCAGTAACATATTTTTCAGAATCAGCATTAGCATCATCATCAGCAGCAGCATCGTGACCATCATCATCATCGCAATGATCATCAGCAGCATCACCATCGTCATCATCTTCATCAGCAGCAGCAACATCATCATCATCATCATCAACATGGTCATCATCATCGTCAGCCTCATCATCATCATCATCATCATCATCATCATCACCATCATCATCAGAATCCCTCTCCTCTTCCGCCTCCCACCTCCATTTAGTCAGTCCCGTGCCCTTCCCCTTAATCTCGGAGCACAGGCCTTCGGATATATCTGGACCGCTGCCTCCTCTCCATCTTCCTACTGTCCATCGAAAGGAGCCCCAGACGGCCCCAAGAGGCTCCCAAGGTTGGCCAGAGAAGGCCTTCCATCGGCAGCGGGCGAGGTGAGGAAGTGAGCAGGGGCGGGCCTTCTCAACAGGCTCGGGCGCCCACCCGGCCTTCAGAGAAGTGCTCGACGCCTTCCCCGAAGGCACAGGAAACTTCTCACAAGGCGCGAGGCCCTCTGAGGAGTCCCGCCGCCCTTCTGAGAAGGCCTCCTCCTGCTCACTTCCCCCCCTCGCTCGCCGCCGAGTTGCACCAAGGGGGTCTTCCCCGCATCACCCAATGTTTAAAAGGCGTTTCTGAGTGTTTCCTCCGCGGCCGCCCGTCGCCGCCTCGTCGCCGCCTCCAACCACAGCAACCTCATCAACAACGACAACAACAACAACCACAACAAGACAACCAACAACAACGACGACGACGACGACAGCAAGGATGATTTCAAGGTGGGCCCAAGACAGGCCCGGGAGGGGAACCTCCAAACCTCGCGAGTTCAGCCGCCAGCACTGGCCGACCCACGCTCTCCTGACCGCCTCGTGTCCGCGCGCCCGCTCAATCCGAATCGTGCGCCCGCGGCAGCGCTGGCCTCAGTTCCGCGCTGCCGCTCGTTCTGCTCGTTCCGCCCCGCTCGACGTCCGACTGTGCGAATAGAAACGCGATCTACGCCATGGCAAGGGGTGGGAGGGAGGGGTGGGACGTCAGATAAGACGCTTGCGCACCTAGCTTGCTCCCCCCCCGTCCACCCCTCCAGTCGTCCTGCCCTTAAAATCGAAACCAAAACAATGAAAGCCTGTCTGAAAGGGCAAAAGAGGCGCCCAGGAGGACTCCAGGAGGTCCCAAAAAAAGCGTCCCGGATGCCCGGAAAAGGCCCCAGGAGACTCCAAGAGGCATCCCAGAGGCCCCATGTCCATGACCGAACGTCCAGATTAACACACTGCGAACTCCATATCATTATGGCCGCCATCATCATCATCATCATCATCATCATCATCATCATCATCATCATCATCATCATCATCATCATCATCATCATCATCATCATCATCATCCTCATCATCATCATCCTCATCATCATCATCATCATCATCAGCATCAGAATCACACACCACCATCATCATCATCGTCATTCAGCATCATCATCATCATCATCATCATCATCGTCAAGGTCATCGTCATCATCATAATTATCATCAGCACAGCATCATCATCATCATCATCATCATCAGCATCATCATCGTCATCATCATCATCATCAGCAGCAGCAGCAGCATTATCATCATCATCATCAGCAGCAGCATTATCAGCATCATCAGCATCATCATCATCATCATCATCATCATCGTGATCATCATCATGATCATCATCATCATCATCATCATCAGCATCATCATCATCATCATAACTATCATCATCAGCAGCACCACCACCACCATCATCATCGTCATCAGCATCATCATCATCAGCACCATCATCATCAGCAGCAGCACCATCATCATCAGCAGCAGTATCATTATTATCATCATCATCATCATCATCAGCAGCAGCAGCATCATCATCACCATCATCAGTATCATCATCATCGTCATCAGCATCAGCATCATCATCAGCAACATCATCATCATGAGCAACATCGTCATCAGCATCGTCGTCATCATCGTCATCATGATTATCGTCTTCGTCAGCAGCATCATCATCGTCATCATCAGCATCATCATCGTCATCATCATCGAGAGCAGCAGCAGCACCACCATAATCATCATCATCATCATCAGCAGCAGCAGCAGCATCACCATCATCAGTATCATGTTCAGTTTCAGCATGAGCGTCATCACCATCAGCAGTAACAGCATCATCAGCATCATCAGAATCAGCAACAGCATCATCATCATCATCATCATCATCATCAACAACAGATTCATCAGCATCAACATGATCATCAGCATCATGATCATCCGTGCCATCGTCATCATCAGCATCATGATAATCACCATCAGCATCATCATCATCATCAGCATCGTCGTCATCATCATCGACCACATCATCATCAGCATCATCATCAGCAGCATCATCAACACCAGCATCGTCATCATTACCACCACCACCACCACCGTCATCACCACTGCCAAACCATCGCAACCACCATCAGCATCATCATAGTCAGAATCAGCATAATCATAATCATCATGATCAGCATCATCAGCATCATCATCATCATCATCATCATCATCATCCTCACCATCGTCCTCTCATTTTCTCATCGCCCCATCACCTCACCAGCATCGACCCACCGTCATCTACCATCACCATCATCACCATAAACACTTTTGCCATCTTCATCAGCAGCCGCAGTATTACAAACATCAACAATACATCATCGTTATATCATCATCAACAGAATGGTCATCACCAGCATCATCCTCACAAGCATAATCCACGACAATCAGAATCATCGTCATCATCAGCATCATCATAATCAGCATCGTCATCATCATCACCGTAACCATCATCATCATCATCATCATCCTCATCATCACAACCGTCATGATCATCATCATCATCATCCTCATCATCACAACCGTCATGATCATCATCATCATCATCATCATCATCATCATCATCATATCACCAGCATCATCAACATCAGCATAGTCGCCATTATCATCACAACCATCATGATCATCATCACCATCATCGTCGTCATCATCATCAGCAGCATCATGCTCGTCATCGTGAGAATCGTGGTCGTCAGCATACACATCGAAAGCATCATCATCATCATCAGCAGCAGCAGCATCAGCATCATCAGCATCAGCAGCATCATCATCATCATCAGCAGCAGCAGCCTCATCATCTTCAGAATCATCATGGTCGTAGTCGTTGCCGTTGTCATCATCATCAACATCATCATCAGCAGCAGCATCAGCATCATCATCATCATCCTCAGAAGCATTGTCATCATCACTACCCACCGTCACTACCGCAAGAACCATCAAGTGCCTTCATCCTCATGCCTATCCTTGTCCTCATCCACCTCCTCAGACTCATCATCCCAATCCTCATCCTCCTGGTTTTCCTCCTCCTCCGTCTCCTGCTGCTCCTCCTCATCCTGCTCATACTCTGCTTCTCTCCTCCTGACCCTCCTACTCCCTCTTCTCTCTTGGTTATCCCCCTCCTCCTCCTCTTTCTCCTCCTCCCATCCTCATCCTTTTCCTCCGCCTCCTCCTCCTCCTGCCTGGCCTCCTCCTCCTCCTTCTCCTCTTCCTCCTCCTCCTCCTCCTCCCCCACTCCGTGCCTCATCATCCCCCTCCGTCAGGCACCCGGCACCCCTCGGATCGTCTGGTCAGGCGCTCCTCCTGACACGTCCGCCGGTATGAGGACGGTGCCGCCGCGTCGGAGCGTGTTGATACTCTCCTCGAGAAGGACGGGGAGGTTGGGAAAGAGGGGGAAGAGGATGAAAAGAGATAAAGGATGAAAGAGGATGAAAAGAGAGGAAGGACTAGGAGAACAGTGGGGGCGAGGAGGCGGGAGGGGGAGGAGAAAAAGGAGGAGAGGAGGAGGAGGAAGGAAGGGAGGAGGGAGCAGGGAGGGGCAGGGGAGGGAAGGGAGAAGGAGGTGGGAGGAAGGGGAAGAAGAAGGAGGAAGAGGAAGAGGAGAGGGGGAGAAGCACGAGGGGTGAGGGCAGAGAGGATGAAGGTGGAGGACAAAGAGGGGGAAAGAGAAAAGGGAGCATCGAGGCAAAAGGCTCGAAAAGAATGCGCAGCTACGGCTGGGAATCGAGCAGCAGCAGCAGCAGCAGGCGGATTGGCGGGGGGAGGATGGGCGGAGGGAGGATCGACAAGGAAGAGGCAGCAAGGAAGCCTTCCTCGTCCAATCCTCCTCCTCCTCCTCCTCCTCCTCCCTCTCCTCTCCTTCCTCCTCCTCCTCCTGCCTGCCCTCGCCTCTTCCTCATCCTCCTCCTCTGATCCATCCATCATCATTCATCATCATCATGCATCATCCTCATCATATCATCATCCTCATCAATCATCATCACATCACATCACCATCACCATCACCATCACCATCACCATCACCATCACCATCACCATCACCACCATCATCATCATCATCATCATCATCATCATCAGCATCATCATCATCATCACTATCATCATCAGCAGCACCACCACCAACATCATCATCATCATCAGCATCATCATCATCACCACCATCATCATCATCACCATCAGCAGCATCATCATCATTATCATCATCATGATCATCATCATCATCATCAGCAGCAGCATCATCATCACCATCACCAGTATCATCATCGTCATCAGCACCAGCATCATCAGCATCAGCAACATCATCATCATGAGCAACATCGTCATCAGCATCGTCATCATCATCATCATCATCGTCATCATGATTATCGTCGTCGTCGTCAGCATCATCATCATCATCACCATCATCATCATCACCAACACCATCACCACCACCACCACCACCCTCATCAACATCATCATCACCATCACCAGCATCAGCATCATCATCAGCATCATCATCAGAAGAAACATCAGCATCGTCATCGTCATCGTCATCATCATCAGCAGCACCAGCATAATAATCATCACCATCGTCATCATCATCATCATCATCATCAGCAGCAGCAGCATCAGCATAAAAATCATCATCATCATTATCATCATCCATCATAAAGCATCATCCTTAACCACACCACCACCATCAGCATCATCATCACCACAACCATCATCACCAAGACCATCATCATCAACATCATCATCATCATCATCATCATCGTCATCATCATCGTCGACATCATCATCAGCTTCATCATCAGAAGTATCAGCTTCGTCATCATCATCATCAGCATCATCAGCATCATCAATACCATCATCATCCTCATCATCGTCATCATCATCACCATCATCATCACCATCAGCATCATTATCGCCATCACCCATCATCATCATCATCATCATCATCATCATCATCATCGTCATCATCATCACCACCACCATCATCATCACCACCACCATCATCATCATCATCAGCATCATCAGAATGATCATCAGCAGCAGCAGCAACACCACCACACGCATCAGCATCATCACCATCACCATCAGCATCATCATCATCGTCATCATCATCATCATCCTCAGCATCATCAGCATCGTCATCATCGTCATCATCGCCATCATCATCCTCATCTGCAGCATCATCACCACCACCACCACCATCAGCTTCATCATCATCAGCATCGTCAGCATAAACAGCATCATCACTGTCATCGCCACTATCATCAGCATCATCATGAGCATCATCATCGTCATCATCATAAGAAGCATGAGCATCATCGTCATCATGATCAGCATCATCATCATCATCATCATCATCATCATCATCATCATCATCATCATCATCATCATCGTCATCGTCATCGTCATCGTCATCGTCATCCTCATCAGCAGCAGCAGCATCGTCATCAGCATCGCCATTGTCGTCATCATCACCAGCTTCATCATCATCATCAGCAGCATCATCATCATCATCATCATCATCATCGTCATCGTCATCGTCATCGTCATCGTCATCATCACCAGCTTCATCATCACCATCATCACCATCATCATACCCCTCCCCCTCCCCCTTCCCCCTCCCCCTCCCCCATTCCTTCCCCCCTCCCTCCCTCCCTCCCTCCCCCTCCACCTCCACCTCCCCTCCCCCTCGCCCATTCGTTCCTCCATCCATCCCTCCCTCACCCTCTCCACTCCTCCCTCTCTCCTCCCTCCTCCCTCCTCCCTCCGGAACGGCTCCTCCAGCAGCAGCTGCTCACGCGAACTCCGCGCCGCCGCCACGGCCTTCGAGGACGAGGCGGCCTCCCGCGGCGCCTGCGCGTGTACGGGGCGGGGGGGGGGGGGGGGCGCCGCCGCCCCCGACATGCCTCCGAGGGGAGAGGGGGGGAGGGAGGAGAGAGGAGGGGGGGAGATGGGAGGGGAGGAGGAGGAGGAGGAGGAGGAGGGGGGGGAATAGGAGGAGGAGGAGGAGAAGGAGGAGGAAGAGGAGGAGGAGGAGAGGAGGGAGAGGAGGAGGAGGAGGAGGAGGTGGAGGAGGGAAGGAGGGAGGAAGGGAGGAGGGAAGGAGGGGAGGAGGGAGGAGGGGGGGAGGGAGAGGGATATTGGAGATGGGGATCGGATCGCCCTCTGCAGGAGGCGCTGGGAGGCTTAATGCGTGGCCGCCTTTTCGCGGAAGGGGGGGGGGGGCGCTGAAGCCAGGAGGGGGGGACGGAGGGGGGGAGATAGGGGGGGAGGGAGGAGGGAAGAGGCAGGAGGGAGGATGAGGGTTTGCGTTGTGATCCTCCTGCCACTCTACGCCGATGGTGCCAGCTAGCGGGGGGGAGGAGAAGGAGAAGGACGAGGCAGGCGAGGAGGAGGTGGCCGTCTTCTGCTCGTAGGCCCTGTGCATACACGGAGGTGACCTTCTTTCCGACGCGTCCGCTGAGGAGGAATAAGAAGAAGAAGAAGAAGAAGAAAGAGAAGAAGAGGGGGGAGGAGGAGGAGGAGGGGAAGGAGAAGGACAGAGGGGAGGGGGAGTGGAGGTAGAAGAAAGGGTGAATAGAAGGAAGAGGCGTTGGAAGAGGAGAAAACGGAGGGGCAAGGCGAGAAGGGCGAGGGCTGGGAGGGGCAGGAGGAGAAGGAGGAGCAGGCGGAGAAGCGAAGTATGGACCGTAGGTGCTACAGACGCCGACGAGGCAAACGATGGGACCGCGCCTGAGATGTCGCGCACACTCGCGGCGCGCCTACTCCCTGCTGCCTGCCACGGACGGAGCGGTCAAGGATCACGCATCGAGGCTCCAAGCTTCCGTGGCACCATGGGGCCCGCTACGTTGGAGACGAGGGCGCCCACGCGCCACCTTTGCGCGGCAAGCTCAGGCGCGCATGTCGGCGCAGACGGCTCCGTTTCTTTTCCGCCGCTCAAGTGTGGACCCTACCCTTACCAGCCTCGAACATATCCCTATCCCTAAGATTGACACGCCAAAAGGCGATGGCAATCTTAGGGATTCGCCCACAAAAAATAAGGGAATCCCTAAGATTGGCAGCGTGACGAGGAGGTGCCCAGCATTGGGATAGGGATATGTTCCAGGCTGGTAACACCCCTGCAGGTCAGGACTCTAAAGAAACCAGCTGGGGTTAAGAATCCGAAGGGTGTCTGCATCCGAAGGAACCCCCACGGGGGCGTGCGATAGCCACTGGCGAGTGGACCCGCAGGGGGCAGGTTCGCAAATGGTCGCAGACTCTCTCAAAGGCCAGAGGCCTTCTGAGAAGCCCCGCTTCGAAGACGGACAGAACCCTCGTTGGCAAAATGCCCCTTGGTGAAAGCTACCAGGAGCACTCCAAGTGCGCAGGGCACCGCATGCCGAGTGGACCAAGCGGGGTAGCTTGTCGACGTCGGGAGACAGCCGAATGTATCCAAAAAAACGCACATCGCTCCGCAGAACCGACCGGAGACTGCACCGGCACACTCCAAGGCCAAAATCGAACGAACCGGTGCCGATTTCCTGCCGGCTTAGCTGGTTCAGCGCTCTCTCAATGCCCCACCGACCCCATTTGCTCTGACCCCAGCTGGGAGGCCCCGATGCTCCATTCCCACCTCGGCGCGCCGCCGACGAGAGCCCCCCCCTCTCAAGGGGCGAAGAACGGTATAAAATAAACTTTTTCGCTGTCGGGGGCGCCTGTCCCTGGGCGGCTGGAAAGTTTATACCCTTACAGTGGCACCGTAGGGGTATAAACTTTCCAGCCGCCCTGGGACAGGCGCCCCCGACAGCGAAAAAGTTTATTTTATACCGTTCTTCGCTCGCTGACCCGCCCTCCCCTCGCGGCCCCGCACAGCAGGCCTGCCGCGCTCCCCGGCGGGGCAGCAGCGAGCCCAGCGCCGGCACGGGCGAGGTGATCAGGGCATCCCAGCGCTGCACGCCTCCGCCAGGCGTCGACGGGCGTCGCCGTCGGACGTCGTCGTCGTCGTCGTCGTCGTCGCCGCCGCGGTCGCCGCCGCCGCCGCCGCCGCCGCCGCCGCCGCCGTTGTCGTCGTCGTCGTCGTCGTCGTCGTCGTCGTCGTCGTCGTCGTCGTCGTCGTCGTGGTGGTCGTCGTCGTGATCGTCGTCGTCGCCGCCGCCGCCGCCGCCGTCGTCGTCGTCGTCGCCGTCGTCGGACGACGTCGTCTTGAAAGGTCGGTAGTGGGTCGTCGACGTCGGACGCCGTCGGTGGACGTCGGACGTCCCCGTCGGACTATACCCTGGCTGCCAAAGACCCTGAGCAGCAGAAAAAAGTAGCAAAGTGATCCTTGTACTTACCAGCCTCAAACGTACCCCTATCCCTGAGATTGACACGCCAAAAGGCGACGACAATCTTAGGGATTCGCCTTCAAAAAATAGGGGAATCCCTAAGATTGCCATCGTGATGACGAGGTGCTCAGCATAGGGATGGGGATATGTTCCAAGCTGGTAATGTACTGTACTGCACAGACATGAGACCACAAGGGAGACTATACGGGAAGCCATACGGCAAACCATGTGGGAGACCACGGGACACGGGGCGCGAGCTCCGGGTCCCGAAGACCCTACACCGTGTAGCCTCAGAAACGATGCAATCCGTTCGGGTAACGTCGGACGCCGTGGTCGGACGTCGACATCGTCGTCAGCGTCGTCGTCGACGTCGTCGTCGTCGCAGGCGTCGTCACCGTGCCTCCCCCAGACGTCGCCGTCGGACGTCGTCGTCGTCGCCGTCGGGCGTCGTCGTCGTCGTCGTCGTCGCGGCTGCCGTCATCATCGTCGTTGTCGTCGACGTCGTCGCCATCGCCGTCGTCTTCAACCTCGTAGTCGTCCTCGTCGTCGTCGTCCTCGTCCTCGTCGTCCTCGTCCTCGTCGTCCTCATCCTCGCCGTCCTCGTCCTCGTCCTCGTCGTCGTCGTCGTCGTCGTCGGACGTCGTCGTCGTCGGACGTCGTCGTCGTCGTCGTCGGACGTCGTCGTCGTCGTCGGCGGCGTCGTCGTCGTCGGACGTCGGTCATCGTCGTCGTCGTTGTCGTCGCCTTGCCTCCCCGGCACGCGGGCATCAGCCGTTCCAGCTCCAGCCCGTCGAGGTAGCGCCCGCGCCGGAGCTCCCAGTCCACGAGGTACACGACGGACAGGCCTGCGCTCCGAGGCTGCCCCCCTGTCTTCGGAGGCGATGCCGGGAGCGAGTTGGCCAGGGGCGGACGTCGGGGATGCTCCCCGACGAATGCGTGTACTGCCCGCCCTGTTCGCCCCTGTCGGCGCCCCCGGCTCTCCCTGTTCAATATGCGGCTCTCGCCCTGGCGCCGCGCACATTCGTCTCCAAAAACCGCGGGAGCTTCAGGGCGGTGGTGTTTCAAAATGTGGCTCTCGCATCAGCACCGCACACAGTCGTTTGAACAGTTGCAAGCGTTTCAAGGATTCTCATGTCTAACGTCCCAGAAATTGTGCTTTGGAGCGGTGTAGGACTGTCAAGGCCAAACAGTTGACTCGGGCTGCTGAAGTCCCAGGAATGATATTTGGGCACGGCTCAGGACTCAGGATTTGGGTTGCCGTGCTCCTCCTCCTCTTCCTCCTCCTCCTCCTCCTCCTCCTCCTCCGCCCTCCCCCGCCCTCCTCCGCCCTCCCCCGCCCTCCTCCGCCCTCCTCCTCCTCCCTCCTCCTCCTCCTCCGCCTCCCCTCCTCCTCCTCCTTCCTCCTCCTCCTCCTCCTCCTCCTCCTCCTCCTCCCTCCCCTCCCCCCCCCCCCTGGACGGCAGGCCTCCGCAGCTCAGCGTCCAGTACGCGCTCCCCAGGTGGGTCCCGCACGGGAACGGGCTCACCGAGAGGAGGCGGCCCCGGCAGTTGACGTGGAACGTCTCGCGGTAGACCTGGGAGAGGCCGTGTCGCAAGACAGCGACTTGCGGAAGGAGGGGGGGGGGGAGTTTCGATTTCGAGGCTCGAGGTTTCGGGACGCTTTCGTCGGCTCTCGGCGGCTTCCCAGCCTCGGGCTGCCTGCCCGCAGCTGCGCCTCGCCGAGGGCGTTCCGGGGATGCCCGGACCGTACTGAACGGCGGCTGGAGACCCGAGCTGATACCCAAAAACCAAACTCGGCGGCGCGCTTTGGGGGAAAGTGAAAAGGAGAAGGCCTTCTCGGAATGCTCGGAAAGTCTCCCCCATGTTCAGAAAGGTGCTCGAAGCCTTCCCCGAGGACACAGGAAGACCTCCCAGAGAGCGCGAGGCCTCCTGAGAAGCCCCGCCGCCTTCTGCGGACGCCTTCCCCCGTCGCTCGCCGCCGAGACTTCCTGCGCGGATCACGGTGAGCGACCTCCGCCGTGCTACCCAAAGTGGCGGCGGGGCTTCAGAGCGGCCTCCACTGGTTGGCGGTCAGGGCTCGGCCAGGGCCGCCGCCGTGGCTCCATGGGAGGTCTGAAACCAGAAGAGGGCAACGGGAGCCTTGCCTCAAACAGCATTCAACAAGGATGCTCCAAATGGCTCAATGAACACACTCGCGCGCACACACATATACACACACACATACACACACGCGCGCGCGCGCACAGAGACTTACTCTTGGGGCGTCCCGGCCACGCGCGCGGCGGCGCGGCGAAGAGTAAAGGTCGGGCAAGAGCGAAACGCACGCAGGGCGGCCTGGATCCCGCGGCGTGGAGATACGGGACACACAAATACACACAGACACACACACACACACACACACAAACACAAACACACCGTGCCAACCTGTCTTGCAGCCTACTCTGGAGGTGCCCCGCGCGCGCGTGCGCGCCGAAGCCACCCCCGCCGCTCGATCCAACCACCCCCGCGCCCCCAGCGGCACGGCCCTCTCCCGGCCCGACGCCCACGCGATGCAACGCCATCGACGCCACTTGGCCCTGCCATGGAATCTGCTCCTCCTCATTCTTCCCCTCTTCCCCTCCTTCCACCATCCTCCATCCTCCATCATCATCATCATCATCATCATCATCATCATCATCATCACCACCATCACCATCACCATCACCATCACCATCACCATCATCATCATCATCATCATCATCATCATCATCATCATCATCATCATCATCATCATCATCATAATCATCAGCATCAGCATCAGCATCAGCATCATCATCATCATCATCATCATCATCATCCTGATACCTCCCTCCTCTTGTTCACCATCATCAGAAGTATCACCATCATCACCAAGATGATGATCAGCATCACCACCACCATCATCACCATCGTCATCAACAAATTCATCATCGTCACCAGCATCATCACAACCATCAGCAGCAGTAGCATCACCATACCTACCACCACACTCATCATCACCATCGACATGACCGAAATCATCATCACATTCTTCAGCATGGTCTCCACCGCCGTCATCAGCAACAGCATCATCTGTATCACTGTCACTGTCTGCATCATCATCGCTACCACTTTCATCAACAGTATATTATATATATATATATCATCATCTTTGTCATCCTCATCATGAGCATCATAATATAATTTGTCTGCATCATCGTCGCCGTCATCATCGGCAACATCGTCATCGTCAGTCACAGTAATATCATCCGCACAAGCATAATCAGCATCATCAGCATAATCGTCAGCATCGTCATCATCAGCATCATCATCAACATCGTCGTGATCGCCATCAACATCCACATTATCATCAGCACCAGCATCAGCATAGCCGTCATCATCGTGGAAGTCGTCATCCTCATCATGATTATCATCATCATCATCATCATCATCATCATCATCATCATCATCATCGTCATCATCATCATCATCATCGTCATCCTCATCATCAGCAACATCATCATCATCATCATCATCATCAGCATCATAATCAGTATCATCATCATCAGCATCATCATCATCTTCATCATCATTGTCAGATTTATCATCCTAATCAGCATCATCAGCAGTATCATCATATTCAGCATCATCATCATAATCAGCATCAACATCATCAGCATCCTCATCATCATCAGCAGCATCATCAGCAGCATCATCATTACAATCATCAGCAGCATCATCGTCATCGTCATCATCATCATCATCATCGTCATCCTCATCCTCATCCTCCTCCTTATCATCATCATCATCATCATCATCATCATCATCATCATCATCATCATCATCATCATCATCATCATCATCATCATCATCATCATCATCATCATCATCATCATTATCATTATCATTATCATCATCATCCTCTCTCCTCTTCCGATTCATCATTGTCCCCCCTCCTCCTCCTACTCCTTCTCCTATTCCTTCTCCTCCTGTTCCTCCTCCGCTACCTCCTCCCCACCATCGACTTTGGGGGGACGCATTTCCTCTGTTGCCCGAGACCACTGGAGAGATCCTGCTCGTGAACACCCTCAGCACGTCGTCGACCTCGAGCTCGCCCACTGGCTCGCGGTACTTCGCCCTGTCCTCAAGGCAGCCCACGCACGCCAGCTCCCCGAGCCTGCAGGTTGCCTCCGTGCACACCACCGGGCAGGTGATGTTATACTTTGTGAGCAGGTAGGGGATGGCGCCGAGGTGCTTGAAGTCAGCCTGCGACAGAAGTATGAGGTCCAGTTCGCCAAGGTGGGGTATCAGAGGCGCCAGCAGCTTCGGGTCCAGGGCTTCTGTCCATCCGCAGTCTAGCAGAATCGTCACGCCACCGAGTTTCAGTACCGAGCACTGCCACTCGAACGAGTCGGGCGAGATGGGTATCAACTTAAAGCTCATCTAGGGATATACTGAGGAGGAGCCTGCTGTACAAGGACCGACCACAATATGTTTAAAACAAAATGGAGCTCAAAACGGAAAACGAAACGAAACCCAACACCAAAAACGATCGTCTGAAACGAAGCCAGTGCCAAACGAAACGACAAAAAAAACACAGCACGTGCACCTAAAACGAAAACGTAACGGGACAAGAGCGAGCAACGAGACGAACCACGAGCACAGAGGCCCAAGCCAAGCTAAAAGAGCGCTATGGTCGGTCCTTGCTGCTATAGTTATCGCATCGCACCGGTGCCAGCATGCGCTCTTGCCACAACCAGGGGGAGGAAGGGCGGCGGGCGAGGAGGGGCAGGCCTGCGGCAACGAGGCGCGCGCCCGAGCCCAGACGGCTGTGGTGATGGGGCCGGCCGTGGCGACGACGAGGGCTCGGGGGCTGCTGAAGGTGCCCCTGGCCCGAGGTGCCCCCGGCTTTTCGCTCCACTTTGAAGCACCTCGGGCCCCTGGGCCTCGCGAGGGGTGCTCTGAAGCCCGTGGGGGGCCTCCCTGGAGATCCTGGGGGCACCCCGGGCCAGGGGCGCTGCCAACACCCGAAAGGCAGCGCCGGTCGGCGACGTCGCCACACCAACAGCTTTCCACCTCCTCCTCCTCCTCCTCCTCCTCCTCCTCCCTCTCCTCCCCCTACTCCCCCTCCCCTCCTCCTCCTCCTTCTCCTCCGCCCTCCTCCTTCTCCTGCTCCTCCTCCTCATCATCATCATCATCATCATAATCATCCTCATCTTGCGCTTCCTCCTCATCCTGCGCTTCCTCCTCATCATGTGTTTCATCCTCCTCTTATTTTTTCTAAGAATTAATACGTGTATCCTCCTTATTGACAATAGTAGTGTTCGTGCTAGTATTACTTGAAATGTTATTATTACTACTAATATTAATATTATCATTACTAGTAGTATTAGTGTTATGATGAACCTTACCCTTGTTATCATTATAATAATTACAACGTTTACTACTTTTATAACTATTATGAATCGCCTTGTTCTTAGTATTACTATGAGTATTAGTCGCATGTTGATTACAATTGGCATTACAAGTCTTATAAGTATTCATAATTTCGTAATTTTATTCATAGTAACAGTCTTCTTCGTAGTATTAGTCTTTCTCAAAGTCTTATGATCACGAGCGTGATTAATAATATGGTTCTTACTGTTCCGAGTATAGGTGATAGTAGTATCGTTAGTCATCCTAATAGTCTTCATATCAGTATGACTTTCACTATTAATATCCATACTCTTATTATCAGTATTAGTAGTACTATTATGATTCGTATTCCTCATCTTCCTCCTCCTCCTCCTCCGCCTCCTCCTCCGCTTCCCTCTTCCCCCCTGTCCGCCTCTACCTCCACCTCCTCTGCCCCCAGGAGTCAGGAGGGCCCCCAGAAGACGGCAAGGGGTCCCCGACACCGCCAAAGAGACCCCAAGATACCCCAAATAAAACCCCAAAAGGCCTCCAAGAATCTCCCGATACGCAACGCAACAACCATGAAACTCTACGGCCACGCCACCGTACAGAATCGTGGCGCTGCCTCCAAAACGGGCCCAAGATGGTTCTACCCAGACGATTTGGGAAAGCGATCAAACCAGGATGACCCGACAGCGCCCTGTGGGCCAGAGAGGAACCCCGTGGGAACATCGTTCTACCGAGCCCCTTTGGGAGAGCTCCGCAGATCCACTACTCTCCACACATGTCAATGCTGTGCTGCCAAGGTGGGTTTTGTTGTGTGCTGGCTGCGGGCAGATGGAAGCACTCCTCTGCCGTTGGGTTCTCGTTTGAATGCGCAGCGCCGCGCATCTCACCTCCCGCTGCCTCCTCCTCCTCCGTCCTCTGCCCTCCGCATGCCCATTTCGGCAAAACCTCTCAAACATGTCGCGGCCCCACAGGGAGCTCCACAGAAGGCCTCAGTGGCATGGCGTTACATAGCGGCCCCACGCCCATCTCGGCGCAGCACCCTTCACATAGTTCGTGGCCCTGCAGGGAGCTCCGCCCAAGGCCTCAGTGTGGCACGGTGTTCTGTAGCGTCCTCCCACCCATTCCGGCGCACCCCTCACACTTTTCGTGGCACCGCAAGGAGCTCCACCAAAGGCCCCAGTAGCATGGTGCTGCATGGCGTCCACCCACCGATTTCGGCACACCCTTCACACAGCTTGGCCCCACGGGGAGCTCCACGGAAAGCCGCAATGTCATGGTGTTGCACAGCGTCCCCCCGCCCATTCCGGCACACCCCTCAAGCTTTTCGTGGCCCCGCAGGTAGCTACACCAAATGCCTCAGAGTATCGCATGTGGTCCACCCGCTCTTCTCCACACACGTCTCACACGCTGGGTGGCTATCCGTGGCAGGTTATCGCATGCGGTCCTCATGCCCATGGCGGCACACATTTACACTCCTCACACGTTTTCATGACCCCGCAGAGGTCTCCACCGCAGGCCAAAATGGCAGGGCATTGCGCACTGCCCCCACCCCTTTCGACACCATCTCCTCACACGATGTTGTGGCCCCGCAGGGAGCTCCACCGAAGGCCTCAGCGGCAGGGTATCGCATGCTTCCCTCCGCTCATTTTGGCACACCCCTCACGGGTGTCGCGGCCCTTCAGGGAACCTGTTCCCTTCTCGCAGCCCAGTGCATATGAGGGGAAGATCATATCCTGCGCGACTCCCAGCTGCTCCTGGGCTGGGTCCTTCGCCAAGCTTTGAAAAATTGCCGCGAGCTGATGGGTAATCCGCCATGTCCACGGCCGAGATTCAGGCGTTCTGGCGAGCACGGGCCTTCTGCGAGAACTCTCGTGCCGTCCGACGCAGCGCCTGCAGCAATGGGCACGAGAGGTCGGAGACGCGCAGCGCCCGCCGGCTGTAATCCACGGGCTTCGGTCAGAGACTGTTCTGCGACAACTCATGGGAGCCTCTCATACCATCTTGTTGGCTCTTTCGAATCGACGCTAATCGACGCTAAATCGACGCTAGCCGACGTTAACCGACGCTAAACAAGCACTATTTCATCAACTACCAGACGCTAGTCGACGCGAAAACGTACACCCTAAAGGCAGAATGAAGAGGGTACCCAAGGCTCACGTGATTTACGTGATTTACCACCAGAAGACGGAGAGGCGGCGGAGCGCGTGCGGCGGCCCCCATCGTGGGTGCCTCCTGCAGCAGGTTCGTGTCGTGACGACCTTTGCGCCAGTCTCTGACACCACGTGGATCGTCCAACCATGAGCGGTCGAGGCTTCCCGACGGAGCGGATCGCTCGATGTCGGCCGACTCCAGGCCACCAGCGGCATTCAGTCTTGAGCGCCAGCGCTGGGGCCATTGCCGCGTCGACACGACACGAACCTTACGCGCGGTGCCAAGCTCCTTATCAACCCGCTCCTCCTCCTCCTCCTCCTCCTCCTCCTCCTCCTCCTCCTCCTCCTCCTCCTCCTAATCCTCCTCCTCCTCCTCCTCCTCCTCCTCTTCCTCCTCCTCCTCCTCATCTTCATCCTCCTCCTCCTGCTCCTCCTCCTCCCCGTTTTCGTCTGACGCAGTCGAAGCTCGAACAGGCGAGCCGCAGCGCTAGCGGAGGACGAGGAGGGAGAGACCGACCACCACCTGCTCTTACGAGGACCGAGGAAGGGGGAATTGGGATGCCGCCGATCGGCGCTGTGGCGCGAGGGCGTTGTGCCCTCTTCTTCCTCCTCCTGCTCCACCTCCTCCTCCTCCTGCTCCTGCTCCTGCTCCTCTCCTCCTCCTCCTCCTCCTCCCTCCTCCTCCTCCTCCTCCTCCTCCTCCTCCTCTGGGCTGTAGCCTTTGTGCTTCACCCCCCCGGTAGCCTTCTCACGATGAGCTTTCGAGGACTGCCTGACCTGACCTGACCTCCTCCTCCTCCCCTCCTCCTCCTCCTCCTCCTCCTCCTTCTCCGTCTCCCCCCCCGTCCCCCTCCCTTCTCCTCCTCATCCTCCTCCTCCTCTTCCTCCTTCCTCCCCCTCCTCCTCCTCAGTCCCCGGTCCTGTCCGAGATGGAGGTTGCTCGCTCTCCGAGTCAGGTCGTGGATCTTTTTGGCGGTCTTGTTCAGGGTGGTCTGTGGGGGAGCGGTGGTTCGAGGCGGGGGGAAAGAGGAGGAAGAGACCGACGGGGACGTGACGCGTTCGATCATGAATCCCTTGTTACATATCTGCCTTGGGCGGTCTTCGGCGGTCCTCCAGTGGTTCCCAATGGTCTCCGGCGGGTTTCTGAAGTTGTTCTGCGGCTTCTGGTGGTCTTCGGCGATCTTATGACGGTCGTCGGCAGTTTCCCGCGGTTTTCAGCGCGAAAGGCTGAACGGTTGCGATCAACAAAGGGCACATGATCGACCATCCAAGGGACGCACGGTCGAGACATGCAGGACAGCCCAGAATCGACCCGACAAGGCGAATCGGCGATCGACATGAACCGGATCGGCGGAAATCGGCAGCCGCGTCGGTGCAGGTCGAATCCGCGGAAAAATCTGCAGGCTTGCAGGGCCTGCACTGAGAAATCGGAGCCACAAAGCTTCATCCCAAGCCGAAACGAATCGGAATCTGACTGCCTACCAGACCACCCCAACCCAACCCGAAGACCCGAATTTGACCCGAATTTCGGGTTGGGGCGGTACGGGTTCCATGTGTTTTTTCAACGTTCCCCGACCCCCCCCACTGGAAATGGAGGGCAACTTGAGGCCTTCGGGTTGGGTTGGGGTGGTTTGGTAGGTGGTGAGAATCGGAAGAATCGGAATCGATCGAACTCGGATCGCAGCGGATCGGAGGAGTCTAAGGACCTGAGAGCACGGCCACAAGAGCGCGGGGGTCGAGACCGTGAGCCCCCTCGCCGAAGGCCCAAGGCCAGCGGGAGAGCACTCCAAGGTGAAGGCCAAAACACGAAGATCAGAGGAGTATCCTTACCAGCCTGGAACATATCCCTATCCCTATGCTGGGCACCTCTTCATCACGATGCCAATCTTAGGGATTCCCTTATGTTATGATGGCGAATCCCTAAGATTGTCATCGCCTTTTGGCGCGTCAATCTTAGGAATAGGGATACGTTCGAGGCTGGTAATATCCCTCCGAAGCTCGAGTTGCTGTTGAGCCGCGCGCCAGCTGTCTGCGGGACGGTGCGGAGGGGGAGGACAGGCAACAGCAGCAGGGAAGGAGGTTTTTTTTTTGGGGGGGGGAACGGCTGCGAGAAAATGGACAAAGAAACAGCGTGGGAGAAGGAACAGGGGGGGAGCGGATTGGTGAACACGGAAGCGGTGACGACGAAAACGACGACGACGACGACGACGACGACGACGACGACAACACGAGGTGGCCTTACTGGGAGAGGGGGTCGAATAAAAACTGGAGCAGGGAGAGTTGAAAAGAGGGGAGGTCGAGAGGGTCAAAATTAGAGAATGGGGATGAGGGATAGGGACACATACATACGCATACCTAGATACATGATATGAAGGAGAAGACGAGAGAATGGAATGTATTTAAAAAGATTGTAATATTTCTGGATACCCCCTGGCGAGACCGAAGGCTGGCTTCGGGCGGCGCTGAGCTGAATGATTCAATTCAGCCCGTTGGCTGTAATCGATTTTTGGAAATAATTGCCTCGATTCGGGCAACCACAGCCTCGCGAAGGAGAAACCAGACATAAGTTAAATAAACTGATCCATCTAGATAGTCTCAACGAGTTGAATCGATTCAAATTTTGAATGCGGATAATGCAGGCAGCGGGTTTTATTCCCGGCCACCCCCCGGCGAGGCCGACAGCTGGCTTCGGGCGGCGCTGCGCTGAATTAATTAAGTTACCCGTTTGGCTGCCATTTAATAGTTAGACCGATTGCCGTGACTGCACTATACGCAGGCTCGCCAAGGAGAAGCCAAACCTACATTGCATAACTTAACAATGTAAAACAAAACTGATATACTCAAGTAGACTCTGCAATGCTGATAGTGGAAATTGATTACGTGCAAAAACGATTGCAATTTTATTTAAGTTAAATCATGTAGCTCATTACTTTCGGCAATCCCCAGGCGAGGCCGAAGGCTGGCCTCGGGCGGCGCTGCGCTGAATTGATTGATTTAACCCTTTGGGTACGGTTGAAAATTACGTTACTTGCCGCAACTGCGGCACCCGCTGCCTCCCCAGGGAGAAGCCAGACATAAGTTACACAAACAGAAAATCAGATAACTTGAACAATTCAAACTTATTGGTTTGATACACTCATGTAGAGCAAGTAGCGGGAATTATGTAAATTGAATAACGAATTAGTTCAATGCAATTAATTGCATTAACAGAATTACTCTATTCATTCCTGGCCAAGTCCTGTCGAGGCCGAAGGCTGGCTTCGGGCGGCGCTGCGCTGCAATAATCAAGTTGGCCCTTTCGCTGCGATTTACCACTTTAAATTGATCGCCGCAACTGGGGCAGCCGTAGCCTCGCCAGGGAGTAGCCAGTCATGAGTTATAACAGAAGGAATAAGTGGAGTTATTCAATGCAGACAGCAATTAAACAAACCCCATTCATTTGACGAATCTGATATAGTTAACGAATTCAAGTTGTTTCTGGCCACCCCTCGGCGAGGCCGAAGGCTGGCCTCGGGCGGAGCTGCACTGAAATACTTACGTCTGCCCCCTGGATATAATCTAATATCTAAGATGATCGCCCCGACTGGCGCGGCCGCGCCACCGCCAGGGAGAAGACAAATATAAATGAAATAATTTCCCCAATCAGAGCTTGCCTCTGTAGGGGTCCTAGCGGATTCGTATGGTGAGGTGAGGTGCGTCACCGATTTCGGTGGCCGGCCTGGATGCCCGGGTGCCCGGGTGCAAGGGTGCTCGGGTGCCCGGGTGCCCGGGTGCCCGGGTGCCTGGGGTGACCGGAGGTGCCCGGAGGTAACCGGAGGTGCCCGGAGGTGCCCGGAGGTGACTGGGGGTGCCCGGGTGCTCGGGTGCCCATGTGCCCGGGTGCCCGGGGGTGTCCGGGTGCCCGTGCCCGGGTGCCCGGGTGCCCAGGTGCCCCGGTGCCCAGGTGCCCAAGTGCCCAGGTGCCCCGGTGCCCAGGTGCCCTATAGCCCTATAGACCCATAGCCCTATAGACTTATAGCCTTAAAGCCTCATAGCCATATAGCCCTATAGCCCTACAGCCATATAGCCCTATAGCCCTGATAGCCCTATAGCCCTAGACCTGTAGCCCTATAGCCCCATTGCCCTGTAGCCCTGTAGCTTTACAGCCTCATAGCCCTATAGCCCTATAGCCCTATAGCCCTATAGCCCTATAGCCCTATAGCCCTATAGCCCTATAGCCCTATAGCCCTATAGCCCTATAGCCTTATAGCCCTATAGCCATATAGCCCGATAGACCTAGAGCCCTATAGCCCCAGAGCCTTATATCCCTATAGCCCTATAGCCCTATAGCCCTACCCTATAGCACTAGAGCCCCCCTAAGAAGATTATGATTGGGGCTGTTCTCCAGTAGCATCAGGTAAGTTTTAGAAAAAATGAGAATCTCTACATACATATATACATATTTACAAATCTAGCCACATAGATATATCATGATTATTCGACACGGGCAGCCGAAATGAACTCAAAACATTGAATCAATTACTCTGTTGGACGCACTTGATTTCTTTAATGGCCACCCCCTGGCGAGGCCGAAGGCCGGTCGAAGACTGGCCGCCCGGGGCCGTTCTCCGGGCCCTCTCGGGGCCTTCCCTGGACCAGAAAAAACAAGGCCGTAGACAGGTGCCCCAGGCCCGCCTCGAGACGAGCCCCTCGGGGGGCACTTCCTGCGGACCTGACTGTGTTACGTCCCGGGCGGCCTCCCCGAGCCCCCTCGGCAGCACCGCCTGGGGCGCTTCTTCTCGAGGCCTCTCCTGGGCCACGAGCGGGGACCGAGCAGCGTGCCCCGGACTCGCCTCGAAACGGGCCCCATGGGGACACTCTCTTCGAAATCATCTTGTCGGTCCTGGGGGGCCCTCAGGGGGCCCCCCTGGCACATCATCATCATCATCATCATCATCATCATCATCATCATCATCATCATCATCATCATCATCATCATCATCATCATCATCATCATCATCATCATCATCATCATCATCATCATCATCATCATCATCATCACCAGCGCACGCAGCAGCATCATGAGCAACATCTCCATCCCCACCACCATCGGCATCAGCCTCAGCATCAGCAGCATCGTCGTCGGTGTCAGCAGCATAATGTCTTCAAGACGGTGCCAAAACAACCTGATCTACCTCTCATGTATTCCGTTCTGATGGAACGGGGACTGGTGGGAAGGGGCGAAGCCCTTACGGATACACAGATACATACGTGTACGTAAGTATGGCGTGTATACAGAAACCGAGAGAAAGAGAGAAAGAGAGAAAGGAGGGGGGAAGGGAGAGAGGGAGACAGGGAGAGAGGGAGGGAGAGGAGGGAGGGGAGGGAAGGGAGCGAAAGGAAGCAGGAGAGGGTCCACGGAGAAAGAGCCAAGGCAATGGAGAGCAGAGAGATCAGAACGAAGCGAGAGCCGGGGAACCATCAGGCGGCACGCACTGGGGTCTTCCCCTGGGGCTCGTGCAGAAACGAGGAGGAAAGGAAAGCAAGCCTGGCTCTTCAGAATGCATGCGTCCGCCTCCTCGCACAGCGCGTTGATCGAATTCATGCAGTGCTGCGCCTGAGGCAGGGCAACACCCATAACCTAGGCAGGGATGTATACATCGACAGATAAATTGATGTATATGTATATGTGTGTGCATAACTGAATATACGTGTATATGTACATACCTACATACATACATACAGACAGACAGACAGACAGACAGACATACATACATACATACGTACATACATACATACAGACAGACAGACAGACTGACAGACATGTATATATATATATATTAGAACCACGCGCGCTACGCGCGCTTAGGTACTAGCAAACTCCGCAGTCATTGTGAATAGGCTTTGCACGAATCCACACAACCGAAATACCAAAGGAGAAGTGCCCCGAGCGCAGGCCACCCTAAGCGCGTGGTACCAGGCCTTTTGGTGGATAGCAACGGGCTTTTGGGGCAGTCGCGAAGTCCGTCGACCCCTTTGGGGTTATCAAGGCGTGTGAGATTCTCCCCCCCAGCAGTCCCCCCCAGACAGGGGGTGGGGGCAAAATTACAGCGAAAAGTGCTGAGCGAACTTTGCCCGTTTGATTTTGGGATCCCCACAGTCAAACGGGCAATCGGCAACAGTTCCCTTTCGATTCCCTGCTTGGCAATGGGGATCCCATTATAAAATCAGCAATCGGGTACCCCGATGACCCATTTGACAACGGGATTCCCTTTGCCAATTGGGCGATCGGACCTCAATTCGCCCGCCTCGACCTAGCCCCCAAGATTGCTCGTGTGAGTGTGGCCCCCCACGGTTCCCGCGACTCGCACCCCCCCGGTTGACAGTGGACCCCGACTGACACATGGGCAATCGGAGCTCGACGCCCGCGCCTCGGCCTGCCTCCCCGATGGTCCGTGTGACGGTGGGCTCCCGCTGTCAAATCGAGAATCGGACTCCCTTGGTCGCCCAGACCTGGCCCCCCAAGAAGCCATTTGACAATGGGGCCTCATTGCCACGCGCGCTAGCCACCTGCTCCCCACCGCCGTGGCTGGGCCTGCACGCTTGCCAGTGGAGCCTCACTGGCTGCCCATGTGGCATTTCGGTCGGGCATGTCCTCCTACAGGCGGATTGTAAACGATTATCCCGGCAAAGCAACCGAACAGCGATGTGTAGGAGCATATCTGGAAGCATTCCCCTTAAGATTCAGATGAGAATCCAGTTGTAGAATTCTGCTGTTCTCGCAGTCGTAGTCGCATTCGCGATGACACTCGCAGCGGCAACGGCAGTCACAGTCACAGCCTCAGCCTCAGCCTGCCTCAGCCTCAGCCTCAGCCTGCCTCAGCCTCAGCCTGCCTCAGCCTCAGCCTCAGCCTGCTTCAGCCTCAGCCTCAGTCTGCCTTCAGCCTCGGCGTCAGCCTCAGGCTGCCTCAGCCTCAGCCTGCATCAGCCTCAGCCTCAGCCTCAGCCTGCCTCAGCATCAGCCTGCCTCAGCCTCAGCCTCAGCCTGCCTCAGCCTCAGCCTCAGCCTGCTTCAGCCTCAGCCTCAGTCTGCCTTCAGCCTCGGCCTCAGCCTCAGCCTGCCTCATCCTCAGCCTGCCTCAGCATCAGCCTGCCTCAGCATTCAAAATGTGGCCCGGGAACGGAGTTCTGGGAACTCGAAGAACACGAAGTGGCCTACAGTTGGCTCCGGGCATTCAAAACCATGCCCAGGAATGGAATTCTGGGAACTCGAAGAACACGAAGTGGCCTACAGTTGGCTCCGGGCATTCAAAACCATGCCCAGGAATGGAGTTCTGGGAACTCGAAGACCACGAAGTGGCCTACAGTTGGCTCCGGGCATCCAAAATGTGGCCCGGGAGTGGAGTTCTGGAAGTCGAAGAGCACGAAGTGGCCTACAGTTGGCTCCGGGCATTCAAAATGTGGCCCGGGAATGGAGTTCTGGTAGCGCCAAGAACGATTTTGCGAGGATGTCCAAGGCGATTTCGGCTTCGGCGGCAGCCGCCCCGGGTCCCGCCCCGACCCCCCTGAGGAGTCATGATGCTCTCTTTTGACCCCACCAGAAACCTATCAGTCTTCGCTGTTAGGTAAAAAATGCAAAAATGACAAACAACAGAATATTCAGATATAGTCAAGAAATAATCAAATTATCCTGACGAAGAACACAACCATATGCATTTGTGAATACCGCAATTGTGAATATCTTCTTGGGTGGAGCACCCTACGGGGCCATGAAGCGCTGCATTGGGTGGGGGAAAACGCATGCGGGCGGTAGCACTGGGGCATTCGGTGGAGCTCCCTGTGGGGCCACGAAGCGCTGTACTGGGTGGAGGGGACGCATGCGGGCGGTAGCGCTGGGGCCGTCGGTGGAACTCCCTATGAGGCCACGAAACGCTGCACTGGGTGGGGGGCGGACGCACGCGGGCGGTAACGCTTTCGCTGGAGTTCCGCATGGGGCCACGAAGCGCTTTACTGGGTGGGGGGGGCGCATGCGGGCGGCAACGCTGGGGCCGTCGGTGGCGCCCCCGATGGGGCCACGAAACGCTGTACTGGGTGGGGGGGGGGGCGCATGCGGGCGGTAGCACATGAGTACTCGGCCGTTGTTGGCTTTCCATCAGCGTAGCCGTGGCTACCAATCACCTCATGGGCGCGCAGGTCTATTGTTACGCGACTTTGAATGGAGCGGGGCGGAGGACCTCCCGCACATTCCACGTCATCCAGAAATGTCTTGGCGCCCGACGTCACGAAACACCACCGATCGGGAGCGGCAGGCTTTCCGGCGGCAACCGCGCACATCCACTGACCCAGCGCCTCTCTGCCAGATAGAGTCAAGTATGGTAACTTGCCCTCAGCGATCAGGTCTACTCTGTGACTGTTGGGCAGAAGTAACAAGGGTCGCTGGCCCGCTGGCCAAACGAAACTAAAGCCGTGATCCATACACCGCTCTCCTGCCGAGATCAGCGCCGGTGTTTCCGGCATGACCAATGCATCTAAATTGCCACCCCTGAAGTTGGGGCATGCGACGCAAACTGAACCGAGGGCCCGGGAGGAATCCCCGGCAGTACTCAAGGTTATCGAGTCTTCCAATCGTTTGATCACACCCATTGCGCCTGCAGCTCGAATGAACCTTTCTGCGACGAGGTTGCGTCCACAGCCTGCGCCAACTATGAACCCGAGCGCGCCGAGGTGCACAGGCGACTTTTCCCTACACCCCGCAGCGGCTGAGCCACCCTGGGCGGATCACTCATTCTCTTCAGACGCTAGCAAAAGATGCCAAAATTCATCGGCCCTGAGCTGCGCGTCTCTCTACGATGCTTCCCATTCAGTCTGCATCCGTCGATGCTCTTCCCTTGTGAATTTCCATCTGTCGTCGACACTCGAAGGCAGCTCCCTTGGGCCGCGGCGACGCGCCTTCCTTCGAGTAATAGTCGGTTCACAAGTGAAGGGGTGAAACTTCACGCTAGATCCACACCCACCCGTCTTCGCAGGTCTGACGCAGCTTTCCCCGCGAGGCTCGCCACCAAAGGACACGATAGCCTCCTAGGAAGAGGGTGTAACTGAACGAGAATAGCGACGAGTTTCGTCCGCGTCTCTCTGCGTTCTTGCTATGTTTCGGAAGCAGGAACGGCTTCCTCGGAAAATTTGTTCAGATGAAGTGAACATGCGCTGTCGAAGTCGACCGCCGCTGGTCGCCCTCCTGAATTGTTGCGTAGACCGCGAGATCCCCTAGCCAGCGGGGCAGGGCAGGCACAGATGGCTCGACTGGCTGCGCCAGGGAACCCACGCTTGGCCTTCCCTTGTCGGCTTAGCCGGTGGGGCCATCGTGACCACATTGGGGCACGCGGCGAAGGAGCATCAGCAAGAGAAGGGAGAGAGATGTGACGATCATCTTGGCACTGGCCCAGAGTACGCCAGTGCCTGGCCATCGCCACGGATGATTCGGGGCGTTCTTCGCACACCAACAGTCTTTGCCTCGCGAGCAAGCTCCTGTCTCGGAGAACGCCTTACATGGTTTATTGTTCCCCTTTCCTTTACCCTTGCCCCTGTTATTTCCGCGGCCTTTGCTTGATTCCCTGCCTCTCGGGGTCTCGCCCGGCGCAGCATCACAAGCGTTCGAGCAGCAGAATCGGCTCGCCTAGAAATTCTCTGATAACCCAAGGACTTGCCGGCTTTGAGCTGCGCTTCTTCGCATCTATCGCGTTTGATTTTCTCGGCCTCAGACAAGCCTCTGCGCTGCTTATAGCACCTACTCTGAGGGCCCTTGCAGTTGCGAGGATCTCGCGACCATGCGTAGCACGCCATCTTGCTTTGGCGTTCTCGCGAGACCTCCGACTGACTCCTCGTCCGCGACTGCGTCGCATTCGACTTGCCGAATTTGTTTGATGGAGTCGAGGAGCGAGGCTGGTCCTGTCCTTTCGGGCCTCTACTCCCAGACCTCTCATTCCTGCCTCTGCGATCATTCTTTCCGCCGGCAGCTCTGGCATCACCGCCCGCTCCCATCTGCGCCGGCGCGGCAGGTGTCTTGGGCTTCTTGCGATCATGGGGGCAACCTTGCCCCGCTTCGGGGCAATTCTTCCCATGCTTCACGAATTTGCAGGTTGTCTCACCTTTCGTTCTTCCGCTTGCCGTCTTATCCGTAGGCAATCCTAGTCGATGGACTGTTGCCGCCATAGCAGAGGCTCTTCTTCCGCCCCCGCCACCCTCGCTCGCCCCACCTGTCAGGCGGGCCTGTCGACTTCTAGGATTGAGGGTCGATTCATGTTCAGAGATTGCCCACTGTTCTCTGCCCCGCATCATGAGATTCCACCTGGAGCAAGAGCCATCGATAAGCGCGCATTCCCGCGCCCGGAGGATGTCGACGTTTCACACCACTGCATGGCATACTCAAGCCTCGGGACATGTCTGATCTGTTCGTAGAAATGTGCATGTATTGAGGCCTTCATTTCATCCGACGGTTCCCTGGCACCGTACAATTCTTGGCACCGCTCCATCCATTCACAATAGAAATGGCACAAGTCCTGAATGGGCTTTTGGCGATCAACGGTCAGTTTGAAGAGGTCACGGCATATCCAGCGTCGT